TCCTCTTGGAATGCCCGCGCTCTTCTCCTGTATCATGGGCATGCTGCTCGACCGAAGCTCGCCTATCTCATGCGACTGAACTTCGCCTGCGGCACTGTTGCCCCCCAGGAGGTGCAGCGGGACAAGAAGCAGCTCGTCGACTTTGTCTCCAAGGCGGCACCGCGCACGAGGGTCTACACCAGCTACTGCGAGGGGTCTGCAGTACGGGGCGGTGCAGCCCCTAGTCTTCCCGCTGACTGCCGCGCTGTGGTCTCTCAGCGATCTCTGGTTCGCGGTGGAGTGCTACGAGTAGCACTTCAGCTGGGCGGCTCCTGCATTTACCACTACAATGTACACAGCAACGACCTGACCATCGCCCGGCTCTATGGAATGTCGAAAGCTTTGGCCGCTGATCTGAAGGTGGCACACCATGATCCGCTACGCCATGTGGTCATTCTTCATGGTGACCTCAATGTTGCTCCTCGTGCTCCTCTTCTTCTTCGCCAACCTCATCGCCGACTCGCCAAAGGTAAAGGACAACGCGCCAGAGCTGCTCGCTGAACTGCGGCGCTCAAGGCCATGGTGGAAATTGCCTCAGACGAACCCGCGCACTACGATCGTCACTCGCACTCCGTTTCCATATTGGATAGGTGCTGGCGCAGCTGGCCTGGGTGGATCATGACACAGCTTACGGCTGAACCAGGTGTCATTGATTGTCTTTGAGCGCCTCGCTGAGACCAATGTCAGCGATCATGCTGCGCACGTTGTGAAGATCACGCAGCGAGCTCTTCGCCCAGTTCATGCCCATCGAAGCCCACGGCACTTGTTCGAGAGTGATGAATTCCACAAGCAACTCAAGATTGTTTGCGGCAAGCTCAACTATGCGGACAAAAGCCCCCCTCGTCAGATCGAACTCCACAAGTGGGCAATTCGTGATGTGGCTGCCGACCTTCGCGATCGGCTATTTCATCAGGCCCCTGAGGCCAATTCGACGCTCTTGCTACTTGCTCGGCAAATTTCCAGGGTTGTCTGGCGGAATGACTACAAACTGGCTCACAAGCTCATGACCAACCATATGGCGGCCTACGATTTCTTAGAGATTCAGAACAACATGGTCCGTCTACGCCATCCTGCATCATTTCAACAGTGGTGCGATGCGATTCAACGCCGACATGCTGATCAACTTCGCACCCGACTTGAGGAACGGCTAGCCCGACCTCGTGCACCACAGGCTGTGCGACACCAACTTGCTGCAGTCGAGCGGCGTGCGGGCATCTGGTCTCATCTGAACCGCAGATTGGCACTGCGTGCTGCGAAGCACCCGTCGGACCCGACGTGCGTCTCCAGTGGCTCCGCGACCGTGCCAGACCGCCTGATCGAGCACTGGGCCCCTATCTTCACGGCCAAGCCGATCGATCTCAGCCAAGCACAAGCATGCATCGAACAGCACGTCCCTCTATTGGACTTCCCCAAGGTTGAACCTCCATCTCCTGCACTGCTTCGACGTGTTGCCAACATGATGCGCTACTCTGAACCTGGACTGGACTCCATCCCTTACTCTGCCTGGGCTGCTACTGATTCTGGGATACACGTGCTATCGGACGCCATGCTGTGGATCATGCAGGGCCAATCTCTCTTCAAAAGCTCCAATGACACGCTTCGCGCCTGGCTTCCCAAGGGCGAGGAGGTTGATGACTCATTGGCGACTGGATGTTCCCGCTCCCCTAATGCGGTTCGAGTTCTGGGCCTGCGGAATACTGACATCAAGTTGATCACCGCCACAGTCAACATTCAGTTCAGCAAGCTACTCATGGACCGGGGACCTCGATCGCAGAGGGGCTTCATCCCCAAGAGGGACTTCGGGGTCAACATACTCGAGCTCGGTGTCGCCGCCCGCACCTATTCGAACTCTCCCACTGCAGGCTCAGACCTCCCTGCTCTTGTGGCGCTGGACTTCGGCGCGGCCTTCCCGAGCCTGGCGCAGTCCTCCATGCTGATGGTCTTTCAGCAAATGCAGGCCCCCAGTGCGCTCATGGCTATCCTGGAGCAGCTCTATCACATCATAGACGCCATCGTCATGAAGAACGGGCTCCCTACTTTCGCGTGGCGCATCTCTTCTGGCACCATTCAAGGGTGCTCGCTCAGCGGATCGATCTATGCGGCAGTGACGGCATGCTTTCTCTTCGACCTTCAGGGGCGGATGGAGGGCTCACGTCTCGGCCTTGCCCGTGCATGCGCCGACGACATTGGCTGCGTCGTCAAACAACTTCAGGCTCTACGCATCCTCGCTGACGTGATGCAGACCGCGGAGAAGGTCACCACGCCCGTGCTCAAGGTCGCCAAGTGCCTGCTAGTGCCGCGTCACGCGCCGTTCACAGAGCAGCTGGCCGCCTCCATGCACGAATCGATCCGTGATATCGCCCCATTCTTTGCCAAAATCCAGGTGGTAAGCTCTCTGACGTATCTTGGCCTGGTCATGGGCCCTGCGGCAGATGAGAGCTCATGCTGGCTGGCGCCATCTATCAAAGTCAAATTGAGATCAAGGTTGGTGGGTGCGAGCCCTCTGGCAGTTTCACGGCTGGCGGTCAACTGCACTACCAGAATTGCGCCCGTGTTCTCCTACGTTGCACACTTCCGCATGATGCCACGATGGCTCCTCCGTGAGGAGTTAGTCGCCCTCTCCAGGACGTTCAGGATCCCCCTCGGCACCTTCAACAGCTCGGCCTGGCTCCAACTCCGCGGCGCTGGTGGTCCATCCGTCCCCTCCTGGCTCGCCATGAGCATTGGAGCGCTGGTAAGGACGGCCCGCACTACGCTTCCTGAATTTCAAAGACTGCATGACTGGATGTATCGCCAACACCAGCGGCTGGGTGATCTTCGTGTGCTATCCCAAACTGTAGCTAGTGGGTGGGTGGCGGCCGTATCCACATTTCAGGAGGAGGAGGAGGGAGGAGGAGGAGGAGGAGGCGGAGGAAGAGGAGGAGGAGGAGGAGGAGGAGGAGGAGGAGCTTGTCAGAGGTCGATTGGCTTACGGGTGCCAGCGCCCATGGGGGGACCAGGTATCAAGTACTGGTTACCCTCCTGAAACACGGTGGCTGGCAAGCCCCACCGTGAGATTTATGGGTACCAACGCCCAAGGGGGGACCAAATATCAAGCGCCGGTTACCCTCCTGAAACACGGTGGCTGGCGAGCCCCACCGTGAAATGATGGGGAAAACCCCGGCATCGTCCCTGATGCTTCGTCGAGGCGAACTGGCCTTCTGGGTGTCCGATTCGATTGCCACGCAGATCATTCCCCCGCCGCCCCAGTCCCAAGAAGGGACAGCGCATCAGTGGGAGGCGGAGTGGGATGTGGACGTAGGGTTGTCCTCCGACTCTAGGCTTCACCCCTCATAACCTTGCCTCACCTTGGCAGTCCGCTCAACAAGAGCGCCTGACGACGGCTGAGCAACCGAGCGCCCGTGACTCAGAATGTAGAGAAGGAAAAAGGGGCCAGGAAGAAGAGCAGAAGGAAGGAAGCGAAGTAGGAGGAGAGGTGTGACCGGGAAACTAAGGGGGTACAGGTGCGAGCGGGAACTTAAGGGGGTACAGCCCCTGACCTCTTCTGTGCAAAAGTGTACCTGGTCCTGAACGCGCCCTGGAGCCGACGCCGCGGACCGGCTGGCACACCTAGGAGAGGGCTTCTGCCCTGGACTCGGGGGAGACCGTCGCTCTTCGCAAAAGCCCGGGCGCCCGATCAACAAGTGGCCCACAAAGCCAGCAGTGGCCTCTGGCCCATCAGGAGGGGCGCCATCCTCGTGAGGGTCGCCACTCTTCGAGGGCTAAAACGCCCAGTCCACAGTTGGTCCACAAAGCCGGCAGAGCCCTGCAACCCTCTGGGAGGAGCGCCATTCTTGTGAGGGCCGCACGTATGTCGAAAGCCAAAACGCCCAGCCCACAGCTGGCCCACAGCGCCGGCAGAGGCCTCCAGCCCAACTCAGGATGGGCGCCATCCCTCTGAAGGTCGAAGCGTGTCGAGGGCCAAAGAAACCGGCCCACAACTGGCCCTCAGAGCTGGCAGAGGCCTCTGGCCCGCTGGGAGGACCGCCATCCTTTTGAAGGTCGCCACTTCTCGAAAGCCAAAGCGCCCGGCCAACAGCTGGCCCCACGGAGCCTCCCGGCCCAGGGATCTTTTCGAGGGCCAAGTCGCCCGGCCCCTGGCCCGCAGAGCTGGCACAGGCCTCGCACACCAGGAGGGGCGCTATCCCTTTGAGGGTCGCCACTCTTCGAGGGCCAAAATGCTGGGCCCACAGCTTGTCCGCAAAAACTGCATACTGGCAAGAAGAGCAACAACAACGTATCAACGCCAATTTTGACAACAGCAGCCACCACATGAACAGCAACAGCGACATAAGCACCAGCCACATCATGTGCAGCGGTGGAGACTTCAGCAGCAGCCACATCAGCAGCAACCTCATCATCAAATTCGCAACGAGAAGCAGCCGTATCAGCAAAGCCAGCTGGGGCCTCCAATCACCACTCCTATCTACCAGGAAAGCACCCCTTCATGCTGAAACACCTTTGGGGAACAACCCTGACATCCGAAGTCGTGATCTTGGGTGCATTATGGCTCCCACAGGTCTGGGCCCCTTCCCGAAACATTCTTTCCGCAAGCAAGTGTCTCTTGAAAGTCCTGGGGCCCGGTATGGGCTCCCAGAAGCCGAACATTGCGCATGACCTCCCGTCGTGCTGTTTGAACGATGCGAAGATGTCGGGGAAGGTGGGGGCGCCCTTCGGACCCAGCGCCACCTCTGGCAACATCCGGTAAGGCCAGGCGGCATCTGATTCCCCGGGTGTGCCCGCGACGAGGACCGCGACGACGACCGCAGCGACTACGGCCACGACGGGGACCACAGCGACGACGACGACCACGACGACGACAACGACGACCACGACGGCGACCGCGACCGACGTTATCACGACGACGACGACGACGACGACGACGACGACGACGACGACGGCGTCCGACTCCCCAGGCGTGCCCGCGCCAGCCGCGAGCAGCCCCGCCGCCAGCAGCCCCGCCGCGCAGGCGCGGCCGCGGGGGCGCCGGCGAGGCCTGCTGACCATGGCGGCGCTGTTGGCTGCCAGGAGGCCCGCGCCCGCCGCGCGCGCCGGCGGCGCGCAGAGGTACCCTGCCTCGCGCCGTGAACGAATCGCGACAAGAGGTTTTCAACAATTCTCGGCCTCATGGTGGCCCACCCTGGGCCCGGGGCCACGAGGAAGCGACTCAGGAGGAAAAGGCAGTCCCAGGGAAGGCTTGGCAAGTTTCGGCCCATGTGGGAGCTCCTATGGGGCTCTGGGGGCCACGAAAAGACGGGCAGCCAGGCCCAGGGAAGGGGTCCGGACGTCTGGGGGGCCACGCTCTGAAACATCGCGGCGTCGGATGCCTGGGGAGGGGGGGCAGCAGGACGAGGGCTGGCGCGACCTGACATGCAACTCCTGGGCCACGCCACTTCGCGCCCCCGCGCCCCGCGGTGTGCGGCCGCACGGCCATCTCCGCGCCCCCGCGCCGCCCCCTCGGGAGGGCCAGCTCGGCGGCCGCAGCCGCGCACGCGCGGAACGCGGCTGTCTTCGCACCCCCTGCGGGGACCCCCTGCGGGGGTGACCGAGCAAATCGGAAAGAGAGACTCCCACGTCGGCAAGGCGAGTGGGGGGGCGCATCTTTGATGCTGCCTGCCCCCCCATCCTGGGCCCCCCTGGGAGGCCTTCGCGGCCGCGGCCGGGCGCAGCTCGAAGAGCTAGCTGTCTGGGCGGGGCTGGCGGCCTTTTCAGGGAGGCCAGGGGGCTTCCCGGGAGGGGCCCCCGGATCTCCGACGGTCTGACTTGCTCCAATCCTGGCGTCCTCCTCGATTTCGGCCTCTGGGGCCCTACGGCGAAGAGCCCCTCCAGCGTGGAGCCGATCCTCCTCCTCCTCCTCCTCCTCCTCCTCCTCCTCCTCCTCCTCCTCCTCCTCCTCCTCCCCTCCTCCTCCTCCTCCTCCTCCTCCTCCTCCTCCTCCTCCTGCTCCTCCGGCTCCTCCCCTGGGTCCATCAATCGTCGATCTGGGGCAGAGAATTACCCCCGGGGATGGGCGGTCGGGACCTCTGGGGCCGCGCACCGAGGAGAGCATGTCGTCGGAGGTGTGGGCCCGAGGCTCCTGAGAAGGCCTCTCGGAAGGCAGGGGGGCTGGGCTATGAGAGGAGGAGGAACTGGAAGAGGAAAAGGAGGAGGAGGAGGAGGAGGAGGAGGAGGAGGAGGAGAAGGATGATGATGATGATGAGGAGGAGGTGGAGGAGGAGGACAAGGAGAGGAGGAGGAGGAGGAGGAGGAGGAGGATTTTTTTCACCTGGACCTTTTCCTAGCCTGGTCTCAGGCTAGGACCCAAGCGGTGACCTCATGCGGTGGCTGACTTCGGCAGCAACCCATGGGCCCCGACAAAAAAGGTAGTTCGAGCCACATCTGGGCTCATAGCTCACGCGAGCAGCTTTAGAGCGAGGACCCTCCGCACCATCCTCACAGCTCGTCTCGCGGCCCCTTGCCCCACTCTCGTTGGAGGGAGCACAGGGAAAATAATTCACTGCCTGCTGCACTGACTCGTCACGATTGGCGGTGTGACGAGCAAACTTGTTGGGCCGAGACTCGGCACCAAAATCGGAGGCGTGGCGGATCCTCGACCCCTGGTCTGCAGGGGTCGAGTGAGACAAAACTCTACATCGGTACGACCCTTCGTGGGAAGGCGCTCTGAGACCGTGGATTTCGATACCATCCGAATCAAAAGTTGGGGACGGGCGTTGAAACAAACCTTGGTCGCTCTCAGTGAGAGCGTGAGGACCCTCCGCAACATCCTCACAGCTCAGCACGTGACCCCTAGCCCCTCTCTCGTTGGATGGGGGCCGAGGGAAGGGAGAAACCAGCCTGCTGCACTGACTCGGCACAATTGGCGGTGTGTCGAGCCGTCTTGTAGGGCCGAACTTCACCACAAGAAACGGACGCAAGGCGGATCCTCGACCCCTGGACTGCAGGGGTCGAGTGGAACAACTGGGGAGTGGCAGCAGCATCCACGCCCTGCACGACAGACGACTGGTCAACGACCTCCTCTCGCTGCTGCCCATCTCCCGTGAACGGCAAAACGGTGCCATCCTGCAAAAGACTGGCGCGGGCGAAGCTGCTTGGGCAACTTGGGCCGCTGACTGAGATTGCTGCAGCAGCCGTGACGACAGACGAAGACTCAACGACATTGTTAATCTGCTGCAGCTCCTGGCTCGCAGGTTGCACGGACGACGACTCAACGACAATTTCTTCCTGCGAGCCAGGGTGTGCATTCACAACTTCTGATGAGATTTCGACAGTCACACCAGGAAGTCGTGGGTGCTGACCCTTACATACTCTGTACTTCCATCTCTCAGCATTGTTCCTGGTAGGGCGCCCGCACTTCTTACCCAGGAGAGCTAGAGGACCCAGGGTCGAGACAGCCTTGCAACTGATACAAACGAACAACGGCGAGTCGTCGCTACACTGGAAGGATAGAAGCCTGTGTCCGAGAGCCGAGACACGCCACAAAGTCTCGGGAGTAACGCCAGAACAACCCTCACATGCAGGCTTGCCTGAGCTACCGAAAATTAACGGAGTGGGATGCTTAGTGCGCAAGCAAACTCCACAACGCCAATAAGAGCGGCACCACTTCCACACATGCTCAAACTCCGTGCCAGGTTTCACTTTGATTTCCTTAGGGGGCCTGGCCAGCACAACCCCGCTGTGGTCGAGCCGAGGCCACAGTGGCAAAATCCGAGCGGCCAGGCGGCAAACAGCCTTCGCAACGCTGATTTTGTGCGCAAGGTCGGTCAGTTGGGCGTCCGCGGGCCTAGGATGTGTGGCGAGGCCAGCCTTGGCAGCCTCATCAGCAGCATCATTACCAATTTTTAAAAATCGGTCCCTGTCGGACAGGTCATCCGAGTCCACAACATGGGCTTTGACTTTGTGGAGGGTTCCCGTCCACCACGAAGAAAAGCTAGAAAACATGAGCCCCGCATAAGGTCTCTTATGGGACAGCTTAATGGCGGGGGGCTCACCGTGGGCACGAACAACGTTGAGACAGTCGGAGTAGCCAGTAGAGGGGCCAACAAGGCACTGGGAGGAAGCTTCTAGGGCCCCGTACTCCCCAGCCTGGCTGGTCTGGGGGAGGGGGGCCCACATATGCCCAAACGCACTAAACAATTTAGAGCCGTCGTCTGCGTGGGCTGTAAAACCCCAGCTTGCTCTGGATAACTCTTTAATGATGTGTCGCTGACAGCTGCCGTCCATGAATATATGACCCGAGACCGCCGTATCGACCCTATCAGGATCTCCTTCCCGCCTGGTCTGGGTACCTCCTTCACCACGAGGACGGGGAACCGAGTCACCTGGGTGCGGGAACAGACCCTTAGTATAGAGGAGGAGGGTAGCAGGGTCAGAAAGATCGCACGACCGAGCATCTTGCTGGATCCGATCTTTCACAAGGTCGTCGCGATCTTCCTGAACGTTGGGGCAGAACCACAGGCGGTGCATGAGGCTGTCAGAAGCAGCCAGGCACAAAGAGCAAAGATCGGAGTCGAGCTGGTAGCCCAGGGCGATCGCACGGTCCCTGGTCCAGGTCGCCCCACAGCTAAGCCCGCGGATACTGCCCTTCTCGAGGGCCGTGAATTTGCTAGAGTGGAGCTGGGCCTCCACCACATCGTAGCACAAGCGCTTGCCAACGCCTAACGCCTGGCCTGAGTCTCCCTGCAGCTGGCGGAGGACCCCTTCAACCAACAGCTTTTTGACCAGGGAGGGGGAAAAAGACGTGAGCCCAATAGTTCCCCCGAAATCATTAATGAGCTCGGTGAACGACTTCATACCCCAGTGGATACGCTGCAGAGAGAGCTTCATGGCCCCCAAAGGCCCAGCAACAGTACGCCACGAGAGGTCCTTATCGTCAGGATCCCTGATGAAGATGGTCTCCCAGGCTTCGCGCAGAAACCTGAAATCAAGGGGGTACTTGAAAATCCTAACCTGGTTGGCCCAGACCTCCTTGCTGTAACGGATGACAGGAGCGACAGCGTAGGTAGCAGTAGGGCCCCTCTCAAGGATGAGCAGGGACGTGAAGGACCTCATGCCAGCGGAAGGTTTGAGGACCCTACCGAGCCCCTGGCGGAGCACCTGGAGCTCGAAGTCGGAAGCTCCGTGAACCTCCGAACCGTGCGTGACGCCCGCCAGGGGCCCCGACGTGAAAACTTTCCTGCAATACCTCTGCCCCAGGATGCCTCTCAACCTCTTGAGTCGGGCGACCCTCTGCTTGAAAGCTTTGCACCTAACAGAAAATTTGCGGCCGCGCCCAGCTTGCCGCTGGGGCCGACCAGCAGTGTCATCAACTCCTAGATTCACAGCAGAAGAAATACATGCGGGTCCACCCACATGCTCCAAAAGTGATCTGGTCTTGTTGCCGACAGCCTGGTCGGAGCAGATCACAGACGCCTTATCTTCAGAAACCACCACCTGCATATCGTCCGACAGAACCGAATACAATTGAGTGGCCCCCGTGACAATGTCATCGACGACTGATCTGGCCGAACCCGTAGCTTGCAAACCGTAATCGTCGATATATTTATATATATATATATATATCGAGGGCATCGCGGACTTTCCGCGGCAGCAGGCCGATCGTGGGAATGGCAAAGACCCTCGCGAAGGTAGTGACAAAGGAATCTCCCGCAATGACTCCTTGCCAGGCGAAAAAAGGCCCTTTAACGATCCCGCTGATGTTGATGAACCTTGGGCCTCTATAGGCCGCCATGCAGAGTCGTGAAATAGGAGAAGGGAAACCTAGGTCATCACACCTCTGCTGAAGAATGTCGAGCCTAATAGATTCGTAAAACTTGTGGAGGTCCCACAACACAGAGCACGCAACACCCTTCTTATCCTTCCTGCTCGTCGCATGTTCCGAACGCACAGCTTGCCTCCATACAACATCCCCAGCCCCAGTGAAAGCTCCTGCACTGAGGTACGATTTATTGAACCTGGCCTCCCATTGGACAGCGCACGGTCTCCTCATCCTCCCCCATAACCGATATGCCGAGCTAAACAATCCGATGGGTCTCCACCCACCAGCAGGCTTGGGCAAAAGCGCAACCATGATGGCTCGCAGGTGGTTGGGCAAAAGGGAGGATGCTTCCATGATGCTGATAATACTCATTAACGCCACCAGCGCGTCATCACAGAGCGAGGCATAGTGACGCATATGGAAGCCGTCGACACTGGTGGCCGTGCGAGTGGGGTACGACATGGCAACTTCTCTCAGCAAGTCGGGCGACTCGAAGGGGAGCGGATCCTGATACTCGATGGGCTCTTGCTTGGGGGGCTCCACTGTGGCCTTCCATAACCCACAGAAACGAGCAGCCTCCGAATGAAGAAGAGCTTGGGGATCAGATAAGACCACACCCTTAGCCGACAGAGTAGAACATGGGGACCACGGGGCGACTTCTTTGGTCCACCAATGGGCTCTACGGGCACCTTTTGAAACACCTTCCAGGATCCAGGACTTCCAAGACTTGTTCGCCACCTCGCGCTGCTTGATGGAAAAATCACCCAGGAACTCCGAAACCTCGTCCAGGATACTAGCACCATCAATAATCAAACCTTCTAAAACTTCAGTCTCACCAGGAACATCACGAGGGATACAACCTGTGGAACCGTCACCCTTGGTCGAGTTGAACAGGTTGCTTTTCCCACGGCAAGAGGGAGGGTTCAATCTCATACATCGTTGAACAAACTGCTGCACCTTCTCCCAGCTGCCCTGGCAGACCCCCATGCTGTCGACTATGATGTCGGGGGGGCGGAGGAGGAAGTTGCCAGAGTCGAGGGCCGAGCCCTTCACGTCACAGCCGAGGTTCGAGCAGAAAATGCGCAGGGTGCTCTCCAAACAACGAACTCCGTACAAATCAGGCTGCCGTGAAGTGCGCCTATCTTTATCCAAAACAGAGCGCCATGCAAGCTTGGGCAACCTGCCACGGGTGCCTAAAACAGGAAGAGAACACTGACGATTGGCGGCCAACTCTCTCTCCGCCGTGTTAGCCCAAAGCTTATATAACATATTGAGGTGGCGCTGCAAACGCTGTCTGGGGACACGGTTGCGAACCAACCCCAAACCATAAGACGCACAGTCCAAAACATCCTTCCAGTCTTGAGGGGCAGGGGCAGGGCCAATAGGGGGCTCAATCGGGATGGGGGGAGGGTTAACAAACCCCAAAGCCTGCAAACTGGCCAGCTGAGGGAAGAAGCTCAACTGCACGGGCTTGTGCGGCTTGGTGGCCGCCTCCAAGCAGACACGGGTGGCCTTCGCGGCCTGCGAGAGCCCGCTGGAAACCAGGAAATAGTCGAGCATGCGGACTCCTTCCTTGCTCGTGCCCGCGCAGGTGCCCTTGGATTCAGGCACGACCAGGTTGGCACTGAGCACCGAGACCAAATCGCATGAAGCCAGAACATCAGGCTCCATCTGGAAGTCCGCACCCAAGATGAACGGACCAGGAAAAGATGATAATTCAGCACCGAGCTTGCACAAGATACCCAGATTGGACTCGGAGAGGCCCTCGGAGTCCCTGAGATACGCGGAGACCACAAGGATAGAGACTCCGCCTGGGATCTGAACAATAGCTGAAGCAGCACGATGAGGAACCAGAGTGGGGCCCACCTTAGGCGAGACGTCATGACAGCCCAAGAAGTCCCTGACGAAAATGCCCACTCCACCAGAGGTCCCGAGCCCTATACCTGGGGCCGCTGGGACGAGCCTGGACTTCCAGCCTGAGCGGAGGCCCCATTGGGAGGCCTCGCCAACCAGATCACCCAGAAGATGATGTTCTTGAACAAGCACCACATGAGCCGTCGTACGACTCAACCACGCTTTCGCCGCATTCCAACCCGTGCAGTTAGCTGTCTCCACGACCAAATCAAAACCGTCGAGATCCGAGCAAGCTGGGGCCCAGAGACAACTGCCAAAATTCAAGGACGGAGCCTTGGGGGCGGGAACACGGCACAGCCTGGCAATAGAAGGTGAAACATGCAAAAAGTCACCCCCCGACACGCTGCTCACGTGAGCCTTAGGCGTCGGGGGGGGGGTTGTTTGAGAAGGCGGCTCAGGCTGCATCCTGTTGGCGAGCATCTCCTTCGCGAGCTGCCGAACGTCAGGATGTGGGACAGCATCAGCCTCATGGGCACCCCCGTGGTCTCCAGAAGAGCTGCTGTCTGCACTTCCTCCCCCGCTGGCGGAGTCCTCATGAACTCCATCTGCTGCATCTCCAAGCTCCTGCGGTGGACGAGCACCAGCGGGGCTGTTGCCCCGCGCGATCTTCTCAGCAGGCTGGACGGAAGTCTCCTCAGGCTTCCTCTTGTGGAGCTTGGACATGTGCTGGCGGTGGGAGGCTTTGATCTGGTCCACAGACTGCTGAACCTTCTCAACAATTGCTTCGTGATGGCGACCACACTCTGCTCCAGCTCGCGTTTCCTGGCCTCGAACTGGTTGTGGTCGTCGGCTGAGAGCTCGTACTCCTTAGCGTCGAGGCCGAGGATGCCTTCACCGTAGTCGATGGTGAGGGCCCCTCCCTTACCGTCGAGGATGTCACGCAGGCAGAGCTTGCCAACAGACCGAGGAGGATCAGGATGCACCACATGATGCAGCTGCTCGACCAAGGCTTTGTGTTCCTTGTCGGCCTCGGACAGCTCGGCAGTGAGTTTGGCCATAGCTTCTTCGCATTGATACACCAACTTCCTCGCCCTGGCGACATCATCAATCTCCTTCTTGAGGCGGCGCTCGATGGAATGCACACGCTGGCGCGCCTCCTCAGTTTGCTTTTCCAGGGGCTTGGGTGGGATCTCCTTGGGTTTCTTAGCTACAAGCCACACCTTATACTGAGAAGCTGCAATAGAGTCACCGAACTTCTCAGCCAGCGCGAGCAACTGCTTGACATCGTCTTCAGTCGCTGTGTCTGGGACCGTGATGGCTGCTGGCGACAGGTGCGGAGGGCCCCGCTGCCAACTTCCACGAGGCGCAGGAACATCACGCACAGGCACATCGACACGTTCACGCTTGCAGTGCTTACAAAACCACCACTTGGCAAGATTTTTTCCACACCCACAATCCTCATAGCTGCACTTCCAAATCGCCTGGCGACCGCCTCCGCGATGCTGGGCGTCCTCTCCGTCGACACCTGCGGCGAAGCGAACACGCTTGGCCCACGGCCGCTCCTCCCAAGGCGAGGCCTTCGGCGGCGGCACCATTGCGACTGCTGGAAGTGGCGGGACGTGGCTGGAGGAACCGAGAGCCAGAATGACTCGCTGTCACCCAGCCGTTCTGAAGCGTCAGTGACAGCAAGCACAAAACTTTGTGCCAGAACGGCTAGGAGGAGGAGGAGGAGGAGGAGGAGGAGGAGGAGGAGGAGGAGGAGGAGGAGGAGGAAGAGGAGGAGCAGGAGGAGGAGGAGGAGGTGGAGGAGGAGGAGGAGGAGGAGCCTGGTTAGAGTGCAGGCCCCCATCTTGTCCTCCACCCCCCCTGCCCCTCCTGCGCGCCGCCGACCGCGCTCGCGCCTCCCGCCTGCCTGCGTGAGTCTGGGAAATGCCTGGCTTGAGGAGCCCTGGGGCCGAGCAGCATAACGAGGCGCGCTTTCCTGCCGGAGGAGGGCAGCTCCTCGCGAGAGAGGCTGCGCAGACGAGCCAGGCAAGAACCTGCCATGGGGCTCGCGCACAGTGGGACCACACTTCAGACGATTCAAACGACGCTATGACGAGGATAACATCGGGTGAAGATACATCGGGAATCTCTGCGATCCGGCGGCTCTGGAGGATGTATCGGGCGCCGCGGCCGTCCCAGAGCGTTCCGGAATGCTCTGAAAGCGTTGTGGAACGCTCTGGAGACGATTGATCCTCGTCCTAGCCCCGGCCGAACGATGCCCTCCACGCGCTTTAGCAGAACACCTTTCCGTAGCAACCGGCCTGAGGACAAAACCCCACGGGCGCCGACCCGCAAAGATGGCGGCTGCATCACCCTCTCGACAAGCCGGGATCGGGGGCGCCAAACATGGATTAGCGATCCATGGATTTGGCGCCTCCCCCCAAAATGCGGCCGGTGCCAACTCGCTCGGCGGCGGAAATCCACGATTTCCAGTGGAAACGGGACCCGTGCAGAGCAGACCTCGCGGTCGTCGTCGTCGTCGTCGTCGTCGTCGTCGTCGTCGTCGTCGTCGTCGTCGTCGTCGTCGTCGTCGTCGTCGTCGTCGTCGTCGTGGCCGGCGGCGCGCAGAGAGGGCAGCGAGGCTCCAGGGCCGAGGGTCGAGGGTCCAAGGTCGACTCCCCCAGCCTTCGGCCTCGCGACCTTCGCGGCACCGAGCTGCAGGCCTCCGACGGCAGCGGAGCGCTGCGCTGTGTCGCGGCGCGCGCGCGGCGGGCGGCGGGTGTCTCCTCCCGCGCCCGGAACTGCGCCTGCTGCTGCTGAGCAGCCTCGGTGTCCTGGCCCGCGGGTGAGACCCGCAGGGCGGGGGCCAGGGCACCCCCGAAGTGGAGGATCGATGGTCGAGAGTCGAGAGTCGAGGATCGAGGGTCGAGGGTCGAGGATCGAGGGTCGAGGGTCGAGGATCGAGGGTCAGGTGTGGAGGTCGTGGGTCGAGGGTCGAGGATCAAAGTGGAGGTCGAAGGCCGAGGATCGAAGAATGTTTTGGAATTGTGGGCGCGGTCCGGCAGCAGGCGTCAGGCGTCAGGGGATGGGGAGGGCGGAGGGGCATGGGTGTGTGTGTGTGGTGGGAGATGTGGGGATAGAGCCAGGTGGACGGCGGAGAAGGAGGGGGATGGGAGAGGAGTTAGAGAGGGTGGGAGAGGCAAGGGCAGCGAGACGCACGGTCTCCTCCTCCTCCTCCTCCTCCTCCTCCTCCTCGTCCCCCCCTCTCTCCCTCGTCTCCGTCCCCGTCGCTATTCGTCGCCGATCGCCGCCGCCGATCGTCATCGCCGTCGTCGCGTCGTCGCTCGCCGCCGCGCCGTCGTCGCCGATGCTCGCTGGTTGTCGTCGATCCTCGCCCGTCGCCGATCCTCACCCGTCGCCGATCCTCGTCCGTCGCAGTCGTCGCCGCCGGCGGTCGTCGTCGGGCAGGGCCGGGCGCCGCGCGCGCGCCTGCGCCAGCGCGGCGAGCCCCGCGGCGGCGGCCGCCTGCGCGCGCGGGCGCGGCGCGGGTGGCAGGTTCGGGGGACGACGCGGCGCCAGTGCCCCTCACTTTTTCCTTCTCCTGCTCCCTCCGCCTGCTGCTAATGATCTGTCTTTTCCTCCTCCTCCTCCTCCTCCTCCTCCTTCTACTCCTCCTCCTCCTCCTCCCTCTCCTCCCCCTCCTCCTCCTCCTCCTCCTCCTCCTCCTCCTCCCAAACTTGAACGACACGATGCGCACACTTGTGCACCAGTGAGGACCGTATGACTTAATCTCCTCGCATTCCATACCCCCACCGTGGCGTTGGGGCAGGAGTTGGAGTGTCCTCAGGTCCCTTGTTGGATCCCCTTCAGCCTCGGCCCTCCATCCCGACGATGATCTGAGGGGGCTCGGTCCGAAACTGCCAAATCTCTGGGGGCGCGTCGCGTGGCCCCTGGGGCCCGTCGCGCCTTCCCACATGACGTGCTTCGGGCCAGAGAGGGCCCCCCAACGACAGTGCAAGAGGGCCCCGTGCCGCCGAAAGATCGCTCCAAGACGATGGCCTCAAGACGACCTAAGATGCCCCCAAGACGCCCCAAGAGGCCTCCCAGGAAGATCCCAAGAGACGAGCATCGTTGATTTTCCTATGGGTTTCTGGCAGATTTTGGCGCTCTCGCCTTGTCGGCTTCGTGACGCTCCAAGACGGCCCAAGGGGCCCCAAATATTGCCCCAAGACTGCCCAAGAAGCCTCCAAGAGGGCCGTAAAACGGCCCACGAGGACCCCAATAAGACCAACTAGGCCTTCAAGATAGCCCAAGAGGCCGCCACGACGGAGAGGCCACCAGGAGGCTCCAAGAGGCCCCCAAGAGGCCCTCAGGAAGCCCCACGGGGGCCTCAAGAAACTCCCAAGATGCCGCCAAGAGGCTCCCGAGAGGCCTCCAAACTGCCCCCAAGAGCACTCCGAAGAGAACCCAAGACACATCCCTGAGGGCTCTGACCCAGAACCCAAGCACGGTGGCGGGATGGGCCAAAGGCCACTACATCCGCCGCCACCTGTTGATTTATCACAGGGGTGCCCAGCGTGCTGGATTTTTGTACGATCTGGATTTGGTCCCTTTTCCCCCAAAATCCCCCCTGGGGCTTCGGCCCGCCCCGCCGGCCACCCGAAAGGACCACAAAACCGGAAATAATCCTCCAAGATGGCCCAAGATGGCCTCCAAGACGGCCAAGATAGCCTTAAAGATCGCCCAAGATGGTCCAAAACGGCCTCCAAGACGGTCCAAGAGGGTCCAAGATGCCGCCAGGTCCGCCAAAGACGCCGCCAAGACGGTCGAAGAGGGCCCAAGAGGCGCCCAAGAGGCCTCCAAGACTGCCCAAGAGGCGTCCAAGACGTCCACCAGGAGGGCCCGAAGATGCCCAAATCATTGGTTTTCCTCGGGTGTTTGGAAGATTTGGGCATGTGCTTCTCTTCGGCCTTCCGACAGCCCAAGACGATCTAAGAGGCCCCCAAGCTCGCCCCAAGGTAGCTCTAAAGGCCTCCATGATGACTTGCTGACGGTCCTCGAAGCCCCCAAGACGGCCCCAAGAGGGCCCAACAGGCCTCCAAGACTCCCAAGATGGCCTCCAGGACGGTCCTGACGCGCCCGAAGAGGGCCCCAAGTCGCTTCAGAGAGGCCCCCAAGGCGGCCTCCGACGGCGTCAGATGGTCCAAGGACGCCCTAAGACGGCCCAAGAGGTCCCCAAGCGGCCCCCAAAGGCCCCCAACAGGCCGCCAGGAAGCTCCCAGGAGGCCCCACGAGTGCCCCAAGCATTCTCCCCCACGTGTTCCCCGAATATGTTATAATCCGATTCGGGGAAAACATGGTCCGATAGCTTGCCCAATCTCTAGCACAACTTTCGGCCACAGGGTGCTTCCAAAAGGCAGGGGGCGGTGGTGATTCGCCGTAGGCGTCTTCGATCCGCCGCCTCTTGTGCTTGTCATAGAGGTGCCTGGCGTGCTAGATCCTACGGGCTTTGGTGATGGTTATTTGTCCAAAGAACTCCCCTCTGGGGCTTCGGCCCGTCCCGACGGCCACCCGGAAAGGACCGCAACATGTATATCTGTCAATGCCTTTCCCGTTAAGATGGCTTCTAAGACGGCTCGAGATGGACTGCAAATTCGCCCAAGATGGTCAGTTATGGCCTCCATCCAAGACGGCCCAAGAGGGTCCAAGATGCCTCCAAGTCCGCCCAAGCAGTCCCCAACATGGTCCCAGAGGGCCCCAAGAGGCCTCCAAGACGGCCCAAGAGGCCTCCAGGAAGGCCCGACGAGGCCCAAACCATTGGTTCCCCAGTGTTTTTGGAGGATTTTGGCATTTGCTTCCTTTCGGCCTTCCGACGGTCCAACGGCTCCAAAGATCGCCCCGAGATCGCCCAAGAGGCCTCCAAGATGGCACCAGAACGGCCCAAGAAGCCCCCAAGACCACCCCGGGAGGGCCCCAAGACGGCCCAAGAGGCCTCCAAGACGCTCAAGATGGCCTCCAAGACGGCCCTGGAGCACCCCAAGAGGGTTTCAAGCTGGCCAAGCGAGGCACCCAAAGCAGCTTCTGACGGCGTCAGACGGGCCAGGAGCCCACCAAGGCGGCCCACGATGGCTCTAAGATGGCCCGAGACGGCCAACGAGGCCCCCAAGAGGCCGCCAAGACAGCCCAAGAGGCCTCCAAGAGGGCCCCCAGGAAGGCCCGAAAAGGCCAACATCGTTCACATGCCTAAGGTTTGTTGAACGATTTTTGCGTTTCGGTTCGGCCTTCCGACGCCCCGAGACGGCAAGGAGCCCCCGAATAGCGCCCAAGAGGCCTCCA